GCATGCTGAAGAATTTGTTCAACAACTTCAAAAGCAAATGGAATTGCTCAAACCCTTAAATGAAAAACATCATTCGAAGACTAAAGTATTTGTTCATAAAGATCTGAAAACATGTTCACATGTATTTATCAGGACAGATCGAGTGAAGAAACCTCTGGAACCACCATATGAGGGACCCTTCCCAGTCCTTGAAAGAACAGACAAGTATTTCACACTCAAAGTGAAAGGCAAAAACGTTACCACATCGATTGACCGATTGCGACCTGCTTATTTGCTGGCAGATTCGGACAATATAACTGCAGAACATCCTACTGCAGCAAGACCCATCGTGTCGGGAGCGCTGCCTTCTACATCGTCCCAACAGAATCCTGACCCACCAGATGTGGAGAAGTACACAGAATTCCAAGGAACAGGATCAGCACCAGACCTGCCTAGGACAAGATCGGGGAGAATAATCAAGAAACCCGTGAGATTTAAGGAGCAATAGACTATATTTCTCCTTATTTTATTTTCTTGCCTATATGATGTATATATATTGTACTTAACCACTTTGTGCACAAATCGTGACTACGCCACTGGAGGGGGAGTACTGTGGGGACCAGGGATGCAGCACCCCGCCGACGCCGCCCGCCAAGATAAATAAACAGGCGGCCGCCATAAATCACCACCACAGCGGAGGATCCCGGAGAGAGGACCAGACGTGCATTCCGGGCTGTCTCCTCTAGGTCTTCCCATATAAATGTAGCCAACAAGAAACTCCAATAAACACTAACTTTGAGAGACTTTCTGAGCCATCGCTGGACCAGTAAATCGACACACCACAAGCTCAATCACCGACAGCAGCGCAGCTCTTGAGCCACCATCTCTTTTTAACCTTTCTCAGAAAATATTTCTTTCCCATATTCTCCCATTACCTACCTCTCCTTCGATCTTCACGCCTTTTGCCCATCTGATCTAATGCTACTTACAGAGCATCTTGAGATTGCTGAACCCTGAAAACAATACTTCGCTTCTAAGCTCGTATTGCAGGGCAGGACTCCTGAGATGTCCTTTGCAGAAATCAATTCAGACCTTCTTCCTTTATTCCTCACTGCGTCACTACCTATCGCAAACCTTTTGCTTAAGTCAATTTTCTTTTATATTTTATTTTACTTTTATTATCCCTACTTCTCCTCCTTCCTGTATTACATCCCTGAAACTATGTTGTAAATACTCATGGCACCTTAAGTAACAAAAAACTGTAAATAGTATACCAACTTTCCCAAATATTTACTTTCGCTATTGTGTGTAAATATGTTCCCTTTTTTCAGGAACGAATATTTTTGTTTTCTTTTAACTTTTCTCTCGTTTATTTGTAAATAGACTTACAGTTTTACTAGTTTTGTGGTGTTGGACTTTGTTTTTTAACTTACAGATGTAGATAAAACATTTCAATATTAATCGATAATATCATTTTGTTTATTAACCATCAACATTAATGCCATCAACTACCAATCAACCCTTTATATATTATTACCTTTAATATTTTTATTTTCTTTTTTTCATCATGTTTAGACTTAGAAATTTACAACTTCAACTATTTTAGGCACCATTTTAAAAAACCTACACCTAACAATATTTATAATATTTCTTAAACAGATAAAACACTTATCATTTTATTTTCCTTAATAGATTTTCAAAATGTTATTTTTGACGCTTCCTTTACAACCTCTAACTCTATCCCATGAACCTTTCTTCCCAACTTTTTACATCCATCAAGAGATTATTGTTCATCAGCCATTTTCTTTTTTTTTATTGATTAAACTAACTAGAAGACCCTTCCTCGCTATATCATTCCCAATAGTGAGCTAAGGAGACCCAGTTAGATTTTTTTTTCTCTCATCGTCCGGCTCATCATTTTTTCATTTTCAACTTTTTCTTTTCACCACACAAGTCGGACACAATCAAAATTGACAGCAATAAATCTCTTACATACACCTCCCCTTTTCCGCATCCTTCAAAACTCCAACTACCTTCCAAGGGATTCCAGTTCGCCGAACATTTTTGTTTTTTTTTTCATTGATTAATCCGACTGGAACAATCCTTCCTCGCTATACCATTCCCAATAGTGAGTTCAGGATATCCAGCGCGATCTTTTTATTTTTTTTTTCTCATCGCCCGACTCATCATTTCAATTCACCATTTTTTCAAATTCTCACTTTTTTTTTCATAATTCAACCGGGCACAATCATTATGGACAACAGGGATCCCTCTTACCTCTACCTCTCCCTTTTACATCCATCAATCTTCCCACCTCTTTTCACTGTCTGAGCTAATGATGCAGACGGAATATCTTAGGCCTTCTGTTAATGAAAACAATGCCTCACTTAAACAAGTTCGCATTGCATTGCAGAATGCTTGGGATACAACTTTGCAGAAACATGCTCAGATACCCCCTTTCCCTTTTCAACCTTAGCGTCACATTATACGTTCAGTCAATAAACTAACTTCATTTTTTTTTCTCTCATCTTTTATGCAATAAGATATTATTTTCCTTGTATGATTCATTTTACCATATTTACCATTTTGTATTATATACTTTATCTTAATCTTTTATCATTCATTTTGTGCGTTTTTACTTTTATAACCTTGATTTTTATTGATACACCACCATTACAACATCTTTCTCTTTTTAACTTGTAGCTTAAAAATAATTTTAACTAATTTGTTTACAAATTATTTCATTTATTTTTTTTTTATAATGGGTTTGTTAGGTCATCACTAATTACATGTCATTCCCACAACCAAACCTTCATCACCGGGGACACATTCTGCAGTATATTTTGAGCTAGATAGTTCACAACCTTCTTCTGATATTTATCATAACCCCATATCTATATAAAAATATGTATCGACCTTGTAACAATGGAAGTGACAAATAAACAAAGAGGCAGGAGGTAGACCAGACGACGCCATAACCCAGACGGCGACAATGACCCGGCGCCAAGAAAGTGGCGTGATTATAGGAACCAATCAGGACTCTCCGCCATATGCGGGAGTCCAGTATAAAAGTGCCCAGAAATTGGACAAAGGAGTTGTTTTCAGAATGACGCCGTTATACGGTCGGTCGGATCTCTCACCCCCCCTTCCATCCGCAAGTAGGTTTAGGGCATCCGCGGCGCCCGTGGTCCGACTGCCTCCGTCCGTGGTCTATCTCTACCTCTTGGAGCTACCATCTAGACCTGCCTCTGTTCCTTGTTGTCCCCGTGCGGGAATCCCATCATGCACCCACGTCCACGACTGCCCAGTACATTCCACGTCGGCTTGGTCGGGATTACTACATATATATATATATCTTTTTTTTTTTTTAATTAAAAAGGCATATATTGGATCAAAATATTATTTATTTTACCAATATTTCAGTTGGCTGAACGCCAACCTTTATCATGGTGTTATAGATATATGTTATATAAAAATATTTTATTTGTGAAATTATATTCATATATTCAAATATTCTGTTTATATCTACCACCAGATGTCGGGACTTTCCTTATATAAAACCGATTGCTGTTGTTTCTCCATGGCCGGCTCAAACCTTTTGTATACATTATGTAAATAGGTTCTTCATTTTTTTTTATTCTTACGTCAGGCATACCTTTCTCAAATTGTTTTCTATATTACATAAGCTCAATTAAAGCAAAAAATTTCTAATCTTTACTATTTTTATTATACTTTCAAGATTTTAACCACGAATGCATCACCATAGCATAATTCTCAAGATAATCAAAATCAGCAGAATTTTTTTTTACAACATATATATATATTTATTTATATATTAATAAAATGCAAATTTCATAAGTGTTGTTCACTAAAAACTTTCGTTACAATGCATCAATTTCGACCAAATTTTCAACATTTATGTAAAACGAGATGGAGCAGGTTTTGCTTAACATCAAAATATTTTTCCTAACTTTAACATGCGTAACTTCGCTGTTATCGATTAAATACAAAAAAAAATCAACAGAGTTAATTTTATTTATATATAAATACAAAAAAAATTCAGCAATTCATTCAACTCAAGCTAAAAAAATATTCAAAACAAGCAATTTTAAGATAACACCATATGTAAAACAGTCGGCCAAGAAAACAACAACGATATTACATCTTTCTCACATATTCACACACAATCTTGATTAATAATTAAAACTAATCTTTAACATTGTTTATTATACTTCATAATATTTAATATTCACTCGGATAACTTTCACTCGGATAAAACCCGGGCGAAGCCGGGTACACATCCGCTAGTTTAAAATAAAGAAGGCATCTCCTGACCACGAGCACATGTGCTTTTTTAGATGGCAGAGCGACATCTAGTGGAGCAAAAATAAACTAAACGTTTATTTAGCTTGCTCCGTGATATCTGGCCAACCCAATTTCTTGATAAATCAAGAAAAGCCATCCACGAACGCGTTTCGCGCTGTTTTTTTTTGGTCCAAGAGGCTTCTTGAGAAATCAAGAAATGGGTATTTAAGGCCAAATTTGCGTAAAGACGCTTAACAGATGAAAAAACAATAGAAAAAAATAAAAGATAAGTGGGTCAGGTGTTGATATTAAAAATAAAGAAGGCATCTCCTGACCATGAGCACATGTGATTTTTTAGATGGCAGAGCGCCATTTAGTGGAGCAAAAATAAACTAAATCTTTTTGGTCGCAGTGGTTACAGCCTACTCCACGCTGACGAGCGCCAACAGCGCGAAACGCGTTCGTGGATGGCTTTTCTTGATTTATCAAGAAATTGGGTTGGCCAAATATCACGGAGCAAGCTAAGTAAACGTTTAGTTTATTTTTGCTCCACTAGATGGCGCTCTGCCATCTAAAAAAAGCACATGTGCTCGTGGTCATGAGATGCCTTCTTTATTTTTAATATCAACAGATGACCCACTTATTCTGTCTGTGTGAAGTTCACGGATAGATTTTGGTCACGTGTCAAGTTACGGTAAGTAAAAATTAAAAAAAGATGCCGAAACCCGGGATCGAACCAGGGACCTTTAGATCTTCAGTCTAACGCTCTCCCAACTGAGCTATGTGGGCTTATTTTAGTTATTTCTATAGAAGCTTCTATCTTTATAATTATGTATATTTTCAAAAGGTCAATTCACACCTCTTCGCTGGAGACCATGGGAATACTGACTAATTCATTATGCTAAAATAATTATAAATACAAGTATCAGAGTCATCAACAATTCTGTCATCGTTTGCTTTTGTGAATAGGATAAATACCCAAATAGTGCCATTTCTTATAAGCATCGGTGGTTCAGTGGTAGAATGCTCGCCTGCCACGCGGGCGGCCCGGGTTCGATTCCCGGCCGATGCATTTTTTTTCTTTTACAATTTTTAAAACTAATTTATATTATTATTCCTATATATCTTCTTCTATATATATAAATGAATGTTTGTATGTTTGTTTGTATGTCCGGTATACAAATTCGCAGTAGTTCACTAATTCAAACCAAAATTTCCATACATAGGTAAAAAAAAATACGGGGAAGACGATAGGCTTTTTAAAAAAATATATAAATCAATTATTAAAACTATATATTTTTAGTCAGAAAATGATGATGACGATATTGCTGTATCATGTTTGATTATCAGATACAAAATTATATCGGAAAAAAATCCGAAAAGCAGAGACCACGGATGAAACCAGTTCATTATTTTGTACGCAGGAACAAAATTCTAAAAGAAAAACATTCATTCGAGCAGAAAACAAAAGCCAGATCATCTTTCTATAAAAATATCGCTTCTCAGACACAAAGTTTGGAGCGGGACGTTTCACAAGAGTGACATCCACGGCGCCAATTTATAATTGTAACGAATAGTATTTGAGTAAAAACATTTAATCGGGTAAAACCCGGGCGTTGCGCGGGTCATTCGGCTAGTATATATATATACAAGTAAAATAGTTATCTAACGGTGTGATATATTTGTACTCCTGTAGAAGGACTACGAAAGCTAGAGTTGGCAATAAAAAGAAATAAGAAACTCATTTCCGGAGACTTATTGACTTGTTTAATAAAAATATATTCTGTTTGGCTGAACACGCCAACCTTTATCACGGTTCAACTACGATTGCATTTTATTATATAAAATTTTTCATATATGGATTGCTCTGTTTAAAAACAAAAATAGATGTACAGCTTGTATGTGTATATAAAGGTTACACGGAACACTGTCTTAAGAGGCATCTATTTATTGACTGAGTTTCATTTGAAACTCATTGAATCTGCGAGGCCCGTGAATTTGGGCGAATAGATTTCATTAACAACATGAAAGATTATTTCTATAATCCATATTGAAAAATGTAAATCATTCATGTGAGTTTTCAACAAATTACCTATATAAGCAAATTATTTATTCCAATTATAATTATAATCATTTTATATTTAAATTTGTTATAAATATCCATTGTTATACAGGGTGATCCAAAAGTCCCGCACTATTTTAAAAATTAATAACTCCGCGAATATTTGCGCTAGAGCAATGCGGTAAACACCATTGTGTTCAGGATGCAATGGGATTTTTTATGGCAAATAATGAAAAATTCGAAATTGATTTTAGTTACAATTTTATTCGCCAGATGGCGCACTACCAGAATCAGAGATTCAGCGGCCAAATTGTTTGATAAATTGAAAAATATAACTGATCGACACGTATTTTTCCTTTTTGAATACCAGGAAAGAACCCTAATAACATCAAATAACAAATTAATAAAACACCACTTCGCCAAAAGTATGAAGAATTGGTTAACAATTTTTAAATACAATCAGAGATATGTAAAATAGGTAAATGCAAATTAAAACATGTAGCAAAAAAAATGATATTTTAGATACGGTTTGTGTTTCCGAAGATAATAAATTTCTAATATTTTTTTAATTCAACTCTCTCTCAGTATCGATTATATTTATTTTAATTCATTTGAAAAATATGTATCTATCTCTGATAATTTATTTTACTCTGGAATGCCGTTGTTGTTTTCGTGTCCAATAAAGAGCCTCAGATGTATCCATGCATCTCCATCACAGCAGCAGCAATGTCCACTATCTTGGGTGTGTAAAGCTGCTGCTCTGGGTCTATGTCAAATTCCTGCAAGGCTGCGGCCATTGTTGGCTATGAGAATATGTGGGTAGGTGTAAGTTCCACACCAGGACAATTGTTGCATGCCCTATAGGTTATTGTGCCATCTGGATGTATTGTCATTCCTTTATAGTGTTTTGTTCTAAGTCTTGTTATAGTTTTTGTCATTTTTCTCTCAGAGTTTATTTCGCATTTTGATCTTTTCTTATTTATTGTTTAATTATCTTGTATTTTGACAAAGAATCAGCGTCAAATAATGACATTTGTTCTTTCCTTTGGCTCAACTTTCTGGCTTCCTTTGCCAATTCAGATGCCATTTCATTACCCCCGATCCCAGCATGGGCAGGGATCCATTGTAGAATGCAGTTATTCTCCAATGGTTCCAGTTGGGTAAGTAACGAGTGTATTTTCCGTGTGATTTTAGTATTGCCCTTCTGAATTGCTTCTAGAGCGGATATGGAGTCGCTGTATATTAAATTTCCTTCTGCTTGAAGCAGGGATGGTTGGTTAAGGCATACATCAAGGGCTTTCCAGATAGCCGTCAGTTCACAAGTGAAGTTTGGCGAAATCGGTCCTGCTCCTTCTTTGATTTTGATGTGCGTTCCATCTTGCAGTATTATGTTAATTCCGGCCCCTCCATAACTCAGGGTTAGGCCTGAAAATCCATCTGCATATGCTGTTAAAGGGGGTGGCCTAGCATTTTTAATCAAGAATTTGTACTATGAGGACATAGCCGTTAATATTTCAAACACATTAGACCTCGAAGGCCAAGATATCAAAGTCTACCTCAATCAAAACAAAGCCATCAACATATACAATATGTATCACCCTCCAAACAATACACTTATTGACGATGGAACAATGGCTCAATTTCTTACAGACAACTCTTATTGTAGGTGACCTTAATGCCAAACATGAACTATGGGGATGTTCCACGCCAAACCCAAGAGGCAAAATACTTTCAAACATATTTGACGACAATGCCATCATGTGCTTAAATGATGGGAATCCTACCCATCATTCATACAGCTATAATACTGCACAAGCCCTTGGTATAAGTTTTTACTATCCTGACATTTTCCACAAATGCAAATAGCAAATATTAAAAAGTATTGTAAGTGATAATTTGCCTAATTTGATAGAAATTACCACCAAGACCAAAACCAGCTCAATTAAGAAAAATTCTGGAACTTCAAAAAGGCTAATTGGATATCTTTCGAAAACACCATTATTAAAGCAGCCACAGTTTCAATACCAAGAGGTAATATTAAGAAATGGATTCCAAATTATACACACCAGGCAAAAAATATTCAAACACTTATAACTAAAGGAAATGAACTACAAAAAAGAGCACACAAAACCAAACAAATTGTAGAACTGAACTGAACATTGTGAATGCAAAAATAAAAAGATTGTACGTAAATGTGAAAAGGGAAAAATGGAAACAAACTTGTGAAAACCTGAACCCAAGAAACCCAAATACAAAACTATGGAATTTGGCAAAACAAATTGACAGATCCCAGTCACAAACCGAAAAAACTAATATGATTAAGAATACAGATGGTACACCAGCAACTAATGACAAAATTGCTGCCAATCTTTTAGGTAATTCATATCAAATAAGTAGTAAAATGAAGGTTGAAACAAAGGCCCGAAGGATTATTCATGACTGTAAAAATGTCACCAGCACTCATAATATTTTCCATGAAAAAAATCAATATGAAAGAGCTAGCTTATGCATTAGAAAACACTGACCTAAACAAGACTCCTGGGCCAGATGGAATCCATGGCCGAATGATATCAAACTTGGGCAAAATTGGCAAAGAAAGACTTCTTAATATTTTCAATAACTCCTGGAAAACTGGAAAATTGCCTCAAGACTGTAAAATGCAACAATAATTCCCATTTAAAAACTTGACAAATCTGCTGATGACCCAAAAAACTACCGACCTATCTCCCTCACAAGTATTTGCTGAAAATTAATGGAAAAAATTATACTCAGACGACTCACCTACCACCCCGACACAATAAATCTCTTACCAGAAGAACAATATGGATTTAGGAAAGGACATGGGACAATAGACCAACTCTTATTTTTCACACAAAAGGTAAAAGATGCACAAAACAGAAAACCAACTAACCACACAATAGCTGCTTTTTTAGACCTTACACAAGCTTTTGATAAGGGGGGTATGGAAAAACAAGTTAATTACAAAATTATACAAACATTTCAAAATTGATGGAAAAGCTATCACTTGGATAAATTATTTCCTTAAAAATAGATACATCAGGGTCAAATATAATGGCACTCTATCTAAAACCTTCAAATTGTATCAAGGATTACCACAAGGATCAGTCCTTAGCCCAAATCTCTTCACCCTATTTATTGCAGGCATAGAAGAATAATTTTCACATAAAACCAATATTGGACTATTCGCTGATGACATTATTCTATGGAGCAGCAACACTAACTGGAAAAAAGCTGAAAGAGATTTGAACAAGACTCTTCTCCACCTAGAAAAATTTGCTAATAAACATAAATTGGAATTTAACCCCCAAAAATCTGAAACCTGTCTTTTTACTACCGATAAGAAACTATACAAAATAAGACCAAATAGTATTCTGAAAGAACAACAATTGCAATATAATAAACATCCTAAATATCTCGGCTACACCCTGGATCGAGACATTTAACTCCAGTAAACATATTGAAGGAGTTGTTTGAAAAGGAAGAGACCGACTAAAAATCTTGAAATGTATTTCAGGAAGAGTGAGGAGCTGAAGCAACAACACTAAAATTAACTTACACATCTCTAATGAGACCTATCTTGGAATATGTATATCAAATCTATGGTACAGCATCTGAAACAAATCTAAAACCACTGGAAAGGATACAACTAAATGCAGCTAGAATTATTACAGGTCTTCGAAATACCTGCCCTAATAATATTGTACTT